AAAAAAGTCTCGTCTTTTGAATAAAAAGAATATCAGCAGCGTACGTCAAACAGTGGACTGGGAAAATGTTCCGCAGTGATCAGTAAACGATAAAAAAGTGAAGCTGAGAAAAACGAATAACAACATTGCGAAGTAGTTGATGATGTTCCTGTGTAGAAAATTGGAGCATATTATATATCATTGGAAAGTGTGTAAAAAGGTCTTGCAGTTGATGATGCTTTCAAGAAAAAATTAAGCTAATTTCTAAATCCAAGTTTACTGTAGCGCCACCTTTTCGAAAAATAACCTAATTTTGAAGCTTCCTTCTCTGACTGCAACAGGTAGAACATGATTACTTGATACGTCGATGGTTTTATACTTCTGATAAAGAAGATGGAACGATATTAATTACCGGTAACTAAGGAAAAAAAATCAACACAACAGTCGATTATCCACTATGACTTCCAATAGACGCCCCAGAATTTGGCAAAATATGTTCCATTCTTATATTATTTATACATATTCTGAAAGAGGACACTCAGGGCTACTAGAATATGTGTTTTTTCAAAAATCGAGTTTTTTAAGAAAAATCGACTTTCTGAGGGGGGGGGGGGTCCCGCTTAAAATGCATAGAGAAGCAATAATAGATGAAAACTGACTGAAAGGCATCCATGTAAGGAACTGGAAGCAACTCGAGTTTAGTTGATTTCGAAAAAATTTTTACATATAATCGATTTTAATCGATTTTTTTCTGATTAATAATCGATTATAGTGGCACGATTTTAATCAGAAAAAAATCGATTTTTATGATTAAAAATCGGATTAAAATCGTGCCATTATAATCGATTATTAATCAAAAAAAAATCGATTCAAATCTGATTTTTTCTAGTATTTTTTTACATGGGCCATTATAATTATTCTTGTTCTGAAAACTCAAGCAGGTTAGATCTTGAGATCTGTCCAGCCTCGAGTTGGCCCGATCTCCGTCAGACCGGTTCAAGGTAGTCCTCTCTCAAACGTTGATCGAGATTGGCATTTCCTTGACTAATAAATTATCGAGAAATAGTCTAAAAAAAGTTATTCTGAAAATATTTATCTTTCTTACGCTCAACCGTGTTGCTTATATATGGCTATGCGTACATAACAAAAACGGTGAATGAGTAGTGAGCAAACAGAACACGACAATTTCGTATACGATACATTCTAAGCGCGACACATTTTTATGCTGGCATGCACGACACAATAACTCATGACACATAAATGCGACACATTTTATGTTAGAGTGTGCATTTTTTTACATTGATTAAAAGTGCCTCAATTCTAGTTATAAAAAAGTCGTCTTATACCCTTGTTTGTAGAACAAAGCTTGCTCTACAAAATGAACACTTTGCTTCGTTCTCTACACATCGCTGAAAATCATTAGAATCTATAGTATTATAAATATCGAAATTCTCAAAAACCGATTATTTTGAAAAATGTGATCTCAGCTATCGCATACCATTTGAAAAACTGTTTTCAGATTTTGACTCTTTTGCGATACAACTCATCGGAATCCATAGTTTTGTAGAGCATGAAATTCTCTACAAAACTAGAATGGAAAAGCTATCCCAAAATACTCTTTCAAGAAATTGCACGACATAGAAAAAAGTTTATTTTGCGTTGCTCAAACGGTATTTTTTATTTAGTCCGGTATTCATTTATAGTTAACTAATCGTAAGTCAGGGTCAAGTTCGCACGGCACATCTTAAAAGAGTATCGAATTCTGGTTCTACCTAACTAGTTTCGATCCGCTTCAATTACAGTTAAAGGTCCGAAAAATGTTTAAACATTCTCACTGAGATCTTTGAAGCAGGTGTTTTGTACAAACGTCGTTTTTGGTTTCCTTCGAAAAATTGCTCTTCTCGAATCAACTTTAAGTCGGAAAAAGCTTCTGAATATGCACTTAGAATGAGCATAAAATTCTCATTCTAGTTGACCACTTTTGATTGTCTCTTCCAACCTTTAAGTGAAAGAAAATCGAAGATATATTTTGTGCAAAGACTTTGTACACGCAGGTTATGTACAAGAGTGTAGTTTTTTCAAGGTGAAACAGTAGTTTCCGAAACTCTACAGATCTCCACAAGACTCCGGCGCACTCGAATTTTCTCTGTAACTCTGCAGTTTCTGCTATTATAAAAAGATGTAGCTTTCTGCAATCTCTTATTAAAATGATCTGCTTCAAATTCTAAGTGGTACCGTTAAAGTTTGAGGAACTCCGATCAATCTTCACGTGTTAAAAATGATTATAGTGATTTATGTTGAAAATATAGTAACCACTGCTGAACATAAGTATGCTTATTAATCATAGTTATCAATTGAGAAGAAAACATCTTCATTCAGGAAATATCATATTCAATAAAATTTAATTTTAGGACTACGATCTGCTTGCTGTTTGATTTTTCTATGCTGATTATGGTTTTTATGGATCGAATTCAAAAAAATTCAATGGAACACAAATAACACAAAACAATACATGGAGATATATTTTATTATTGAATGGCAGATATGTCAGTCGCAGTTAATGTATGTAATTTATTATATTTAGCTTTACTTATCGAGCGGAAAGAGCTAACACTACATGCATTAAATTTCGTATTTTCAATGCATAAGCTGATAAATCATATGGTTTGAAAAATGCGAACATTCCGTAGAATTTATTCAACTACAGACAACTTCATTGTATATGAGTTTTACGGTGTACAGAAAACTCACCATTACTAAATGATATTAAATGTTAACAGTTACATTAAGAACCAGTTTACAAATCTATCCTTTCGGTTCATTACAAAATATAGAAATGATGGGCAATTATCATGTGCAGAAAATTAAAATGGGATCGATTAAACAGATATTAAATAAGTTATATCCGATGCATATTATGAGGCTGCTGATATACTTAATGTCTTAGAAATATTTAACTTATTGCAAAAACAAAAAATGTTTTTGATTTAAAGCAATTGAATGACTATTTATTTAGACAATTAAAGACATTCGAATATGTTCAACTGCTCATCTAAAGTAGTCAACATAGATGATTCCTGTTTTGATGGGAAGGTTGTATTCATATTTGACATGATCTCACTGTCTTCTTTTATTTTATTTTTAATCTTTAATCTTACTTTAATTTAATTCAATTTATTTCCATGTTGCTAATTTATTTAAATTTTAAAATTTTATGACGTTTCCTATCTGGATTAAATGCTTCATCAGGCAGTAAAATTAAGGCAAAGAACATGTAAATAGATGCAATCAGAACTCAACAGTTTTCTTTTTTTCTCTTTAATATTTTTCATACTTTTGATAGCGATATGGGAAAAAATTCAAGCCCTATCTAGGTATTACTATTACTGTTTTGTTGCCCGTATTACTATTAAAAGTATGACTAATATTAAAGAAAAAGAAACCTGTTTGTTTCTTATTGTATTTATATATATATGTCCTGTGTCTTAATTTTAATGTCCGATGAAGTATCTCATTAAGGTACAAAACGTTTCAAAGTTTAAAATTTAAATAAATTAGCAATATCAAATAAACTTAAACTGAATTACATCAAACTTAAATTGGAAATTAAAAGTAAAACAAAAGAAGAGAGTAAAATCATGTCAAATATGAATACAACCTTCTTATGAAAACAGGAATTCGCAAAATTCTATACAGAGAAAATTTACAACAATGCACACCATTTGGAAGAATAATACAAGAAAATAACAACAGACGAACCAAGTATTAGATGTCGTCTACAATGCAGACAGCATACCTTAATATCAAATGGATTCAAATTAAAGAATGTCATAAATTTGAATAAAAATAAACAATATTTAAGACAAACGATATATAAAATCAGAGACAATACCGTACAACTTAATCAAAAACAGTGAAAACATGTTAATATTGAAATTAGCACTGAAAATTCAACATTAAATCATTATTTAAAACATCCCAATCACGACGCCAACATCAAGATGACTTGATGTGCATAAACAAATATCATGGAAATTTTGAAAATAATCTAATTGAACAGCATAAGAAGAAAATAAAAATATTAAGAAAAAAACTATTACAGCAAGACTTAATAATAACAAAAGGCAATATATGATACATGAAATGTTATTAGTATGTTAAAAATTCAATTAAGTCAAGAGCAACTTAAAAATATTATGAAAAAGATTAAATTGGGTTCTAACAAAAAAGAACAATCGGTGCAGTAACAACTACTGCGAAGTGTGAAAAATCATTATATTCAACATCAGAACTAATTAAAAAGCAGCTACATCAGAAATATGAACATTTATTTAACAATGTAGAAAATCTAAGAAATTCAATGTGAAATAAGCAGAAATGAAATTATCAATAGAAATGCAATCAATCGAAATATTGTTACTGTTTAAGTTGATAAGAGTGGAAAAATAGTTATCACGGGCAAAAATGATTGTATTAATAAAATTCAAGAAAAATTAAAAGATTTGAAGATTTATGATCAAGTGAAGAAGGCACCAACAACAACATTTAAAACAGAAATCAATAAAAAAGAGTACCAAGTTATTAAATAAAATAAAATTACGGAGTAAAATAAATACTGCTTAAAATCAATAGACGACCTCCCGAAAATTCATGATCAACCTAAGATACATAACAACAACACCCCTAATGACGACAATTACATGTTCAAGAGATGTAATAAAATCACTATTATCTCAATTCGTATTCAAAATATTTAAACAATTAAGAACAACGTTGATGGTTATGGTATGCAATGAATCAAATTTTGTTAAAAAACGTTACAGATATTAAATTAAATCACGACGATCATTTAACAAGCCTTGATCTTTAGGATTTATACATAAACATACCACTTAATAAAGCAATTGATATTACATTAAAACGGTTGGATGCAACTAAGAAACTGAACAATTTATCATTTACTAAGACTGATACAGAATACTTATTAAAATTAACCGTTAAAATCAGTTATTTTAGATTTCATGGTAAATTTTACAAACAAAAAAACGAGTTTACCTATGGATAGCACATCATCATCCATATTAGCTGACACATATATAAATGAATATCAAAAACGTCATTTAGATGAAGTCAATATTCCAAATAAAATTGAGAAATATGTTGATGATATTTTATTTATTACAAAAGTGAATGAACATGTATTAAATAATTATGTAAATGAGTTAAATAAAATACCTGGTACAGTTAAATTCACCTCAGAATTCGAATAGGATAATGAATAAAATTATTTCGATGATACTCCTACAAAAATTAATATAAGTAATGAAACCAAACTTAAAATTAGATTTTTTCGAAAAGACATAGTTATAGATAGATTATTAAATTACGACTCAAGTCATGAAAAATTCATCAAATCAAGCATCATTTAAACATGACTACAAGCAATGGCGTAGCCAGCGGTAGGGCCATTGGGCAATTGTCCATAGCTCCAAAAGTTATTGCCCATGGATTTATTGAGCTATGCAGTGATTGAACAGTTATTGCCCATAGATATTTTTGAAATCATAACGGTTACTCTTAGCTGCCCGTAACTCAAAATAGTTCGGCTAATGAATTGCCCATGACTCAAAAATTCCTGGCTACGCCACTGACTACAAGGATTTTAGAAACCACGCAAGATGGTCAAGATCAAAAAAAGACTTGAATAAAAAAAGACTTGAATAAAAAAAGACTTGAATAAAAAAAGACATGTTATTGAAGTCTAATTATTCATTGACAGAAATTGAAAAACTAATTAAACAAACATGAGAATAATTAATATCAAATAAAAACAATTTCAATGATGAAAATAACAATAACACACACAATAAAAATAAAAGCAATGAAGAAATTGTAGTTTAACATCACCATATGCTCTTGATATGGAAGTATTAAAAAGAAGGCTTGAAAAGAAATTAAAAATTAGGTTATATTTCTCCTATTCATACAAAGTACAATCACAATTTAATCAATCATTAAGAGTTCTACAAAAATCTGTTATTTATCAAATCTCTTGTTCATACAAACTAACTTATGTTGGTCAAACGAAAGTTGGTATAGACAAAATAATGAAAGAACATTCGAAAATAATAAATGACGATGTAGATAACAACGATTCGGAATTATTAAACGGTTCTTTGAAAAAAAGTTCAATGTGTATTGGATACAAATAATGCTTAATTATTGAACAAGGAAAAGATTATTAAAAAAACGTAAAAAAGAAGTTATATATTCAACGATAAATGAATCAATAAATACCTATGATGACATTAATGCAGGACGAACACCAACATTACATAAAACAAAGCAACCAATCCAGAGAAAAATTCAATCAGATCAAGAGAATTACATCAAAAACAAAACAAGTAAAATATAACGAAGAAGAAGACGTTGATAGTGATATGAAAACTGGTTCAATCCTTATCTAGTTATTACTATCCCCGTCTTGTTTTCCGCATCACTATCAAAAGTACGACTAATATTAAAGAAAAGAAAAAGAAAACTGTTTGTTTGTTATTGTTCTTATTTAGATGTCATTTATCTAAATTTCAATGTTCGATAAAATATCTCATCAAATATACGCAACATGACAAAGTTTTCAATTCAAATAAGTTAGCAGTATCAAACAAAATAAAATTGAATTGGATTAAATTCAAATTAAAAATAAAATAAAAGAAGAGAATAAAATTATGTCACATATGGATGACGACGACAGTAATAATATTATTTCCACTCACGATGATCATTCTGATGAAGATGAACAAGATGCTACTACAGAGTTTCTCAGTATCACAAAAAAGGCTTTTTCGGTGTAAAAGTCTTCGACACAATCAGAACTTACCATGAAACATCTTTATTTGAAAGTTTCAATTAATCAAGACAAAATAGCTGTATAAATAGTCTACTTGCTGATTATAATCAGGCGAAAAAGGTAAATTCTCAAATGACAGGTTACTTCAAGTAATGCAGACTAACTAAAACTAATAAATATATTTTTTCTTTACTTAATATTTAGTTTACTTTCCTTTCTCAATAAACGGCATTTTCTTATTTCAAGTGGTAGAAGCAGCGATTGCGCTGCACGCAGATTCTAGAAAAATAAGGTACACTCACTAGATTTCTTGAGACTTCACAGAGTCTCTCAACAGAAAACACAAAATGGTGTGTTTTATGCATTTTTCAAAAAGCATGAACAATTTTCTTCACTCAGTGCTATTTTTTATCATGTATTATAATGTTATTCTACGAGTGATCAACAACTTTCTCCTGAAATATTTTTGATATCAAAATACTATATAGTAAGTCTATAGTTTTCTCTTTTTTCATGGAACTCTGATCTATTTTAGATGCTATTCCTTATGCAACCCTCACACTGTTCAATGATCTGCATATCAAATAGTAAACATCAGCAAAATACATACTTGTCCCTCTGGATGAGGGAGAATCAGTCGCTGGCTGTGAAGAAAAGAAAATATTGCATCTATTTTATGAAAGCTAGATCATATTGCTCTATTACCTGACCTAATTGTTCATAAACCGGGCCTACACCATCATGGACTTCTGTACTGATCGCATATTCGTTGTCATCATTTGGTATATCCTATAAAGCACCGAAAGCATCATGATGTAAAGGTTAGTGAAGCTTAGACTGAACTAACTTTGTTCCTGTTCATCGTCGTTATTTTTTTTCTAAAATAGACTGTAAATAGCTCCTTTATCTTATTCAGCAATATGTTCAGTTGCACAGCAAAACGAAGAAAACCCTGTTCAACGAGTTGTCATTCTATCCAAATCGACACAAAAAAAGCAGCTCATTATGTCTTCGATACACGAATGGGATTCATTTTTAATATGTTGCTTCGAAAACAAAACATTTATTTCAATACTCATGTTCATTCAAATATACTCTTCAAATATGGGAAATGCTCTGAAAGTGAGTTTTGCAACGTAATCGCCAACTCTAAACAAAATCATGTTTTCTATCGGATAAAAGAAAACATTGATGAGAAATAATTATTTTCTCGCATCTGATTGGTTGTATTGTTCAGTGTCTAGAATATGAGTAGTTGTAGGCTCATTACACTTGTCCGTCAAGATTATTCTGATTGGTATTTTGCTTTTATTGTTTCAATGTTCTAACTAATAGCTATTATCTTTTTAGGACATGATAATTACTAAAAGAAGAGCTGGTGGAGACATCTTTTGACGTAACTTGGAAAATTTCTATAACAGCTTTAATTATGAATTATGAAGTAGCATTAGTACTGAGAGTAGCCTCCTTGACTTTCTTTTAGGGAAGATATTGTGCATTCATTCCTTGTTGTGTATACGCACTCATTAGTCATCCTTGTTTGCTTCTTTTCTAAATTTTTTAAATTTTTTTCTTTCTTTCTTTATATTTTCATTCGCTCTCATTTTCCTGCTCGTCATTCGCTCTCAGGTATTATTCTATTGATTTTTTTTTCTTGATACGTACACGGTTGGAAAAAATATTATTCAAGGGGGATAACGCTATAATTTCAAATAGGAGATATAGTGAATTTTATATCAACTGAAAGCCCGTGAAAAATGGGGTTTATTGATGCTAAATAGTAAGGATTATGTAAACCTTTTAATATCGAACTTAAGAAACTTTCAGAAATTTTATAGATTTTTGGGGGCTGGAAAAGGAAGGTGCTAGTAATTCAAAAATGGAGTAAAATGTTTTTCTTGGATATTTTTACATGGTTCGATACAGAGCTCGTCGAGCTCTACAAAATTGTATATATTAAAAACTTTTTAAACAGGATTCTTGGATTGAAATCCACTGAAAATTGTCTAAAGAAGGTACCCAAAAATCCGCATTTTTTACACTTTTTATAGGGGAAAAAGCGGTCTTTTTTACAATAAATTCAGTTGTTTTCCATCAGAGATGGTCATCTCCATGGTAACAGGGCATAGGGTCGCTACTGTCTATTGCATTTCCCATCGACAGTAGCGACCCTACGCCCTGTTACCATGGAGATGACCATCTCTGTTTTCCATTAGTATCCTTATGTAAGATGTTTGAAAATATACTCATTCGGTGCAGTTTTTCATGCTGCATCGAATGAGTATATTTCGAAACTTCTGAGGGAGTAAAAATAGTCAAGAAAAGCTAATTTTATTGAAAAATCGAGTGTTTTTCTTCCATATCAAAAATATCAGTTTTTTTAACGTTTTTTAAGATTTTCCAAATAGTTTTTTAAATTTTTTATCATAAAAAAATGCCTTAAAAAATTTTTAATATATACAATTTTGTAGAACTCGACGAGCTCTATCGAACCATGTAAAAATATCCAAGAAAAACGTTTTACTCCATTTTTGAATTACTAACACCTTCCTTTTCCACCCCCCAAAAATATATAAAATTTCTGAAAGTTTCTTAAGTTTGATATTAAAAGGTTTACATAATCCTTACTATTTAGCATCAATAAACCCCATTTTTACGGGCTTTCATTTGATATAAAATTCATCATGTCTCCTATTTGAAATTATAGCGTTACCCCCCTTGAATAATATTTTTTCCAACTCTGTATATGCAAGATTAAGACTTCGATGCTTACCAAAAAGTTTTACGTGCTCTATCTCATCGGTATATTAACGTCATAGAAGATGCTACAGATAGTAGTGACGAAGACTCTTTTCATTGATTGTATAGTTTTCTTATCAATAAATATTTATTCTGATCTTAATCATCAGTTTTTCATTTACGTAAAAATGGTCTCTTTTTGGAAACATATTAGAGATGAGATTAATGGAAATTTTCTCATTCCAAAAAGAGATCACTTTAATGTTAATTGGCTTATTTAGTGGTCTCATTTCGGAAATAGCCGTTCAGACTGAAGAAATTTTCGCCTTAGAAATTTGTGAGAATTGAATGCTTAAAGAAGTTATAGTGATGATTTATAAAAGAAGCTAACTCAAACAATTCAAAGGAAAAGCATCGTTGCTTCAACTCACCTATTCATATGAGGCCTGGTTAAATATTTTTATTATAGGGAGGGTCTCTGTTTTATAATCAAAAAAGAGATCAACTTGTAGAAAAAAGTATTTTCATTAGTGAAACTTTTAGTATTTGATTTTTTTCTCTCATAGATATTTTACATTCTTCATTTGGTTGAGACCCTGCAAAAATGCATGAGTGATTCTTGTTTCTACTAACATTTGTTTTTTTCTAATTGCATTTGGATGCATGATAGTTTATATGCAA